AAGCAGAGTTTACCGTAAGTTGAATACAGATATCTAGATAATTATTCAATTTTGTATATAGTGGGATTTGAACCCTAGACCTTTTGCATGGTAGTTTGGCAATCTAACCACTATACTAAGATCACTAGACCTTATAGATTTCTTTTAAAGAGAACAATAAAGTACTTTAAGATAAAGCTCTTTCTAATAGGAAAAACTAAGATACAAAGCTAGTTTAAGTGATTCTCAATAAGATAGCATGAGATTGTATAGGTTTAAGAATAAAATTAAGTTGATATTAGAGATAACAAAAATACTAGTGAGTTTAAAATAGAGTAGCTACAAATAGATACTAAATATAGCAATTAGTAAGTAATCTTTAGACAGAACCTTTAAATAGATAATAATTAAAGTTATATATATAACTAATTGTACTCTTACTAATTTATGTAAATCTACAAATAACTTAATAAAAGTTAACTAGTATCATAGCCTTATTATAACAATAAAAAAAAATAAAAATAAAAAAAAAAGTAAGAAAAATAATTTATCTGAATATTACTTTTAAAATTACTTAATAACTATATATCTGTTTTATATGATTTATAGCTTGTTTGAAAGATCTCATTAAGCTAAATCTAATAGTTTAATTTAAATCTAACTTTAGCTATTAGATTTATCAAGAAACTGATAGTAAATAAAATATATTCAAGAAATTAACTAAATAGATAAAACTCATTTTATAACAGTACTATATACTATTAGTAAATACCAAGTATCTACTTTTTTATCTAGAGTTATTAGCTTGTATAATTAGAGTTTTTTTTTTTTTAGTAGCAGTAGTACTACTGTATTTAGTAGTATTAGTGCTACTACTTTTAGTTAGTATTAGCTATTTTAGATTATATCTAACTTTATATAATCAAAATAGTTATAATATATTAATAAATTTTATAAGTCATAATAGATTATAAGATCATAATTTATAATTGGCTAATAGATTATAATAGGTTATAAGCTAACTAGTAGTATTGTTATTTTTTTTATTTTTTTTTTATTTTTTTTATTACTTAAGCAATCTTGTCTTTCATTTATTAAGAAAAAATATATAATGTTATAATAATAATATAAACTATACTAAATTAGCTATATAACTACTCTCTTCATATAACTCTAGACTCACTTAGTTGCTAATAGTTTCTAAGTATGATCTACTGCAATAGTATTTTTTTCTCCTAAAAAGAAAATTTGTCCAAGTAAAAACTATCTTTCTGATTTATAGAAGGCTACTATACATCTAAGTAGTATTGCTATTACTTTTAGTAGTAATACTTTTCTTGATAATATTAATGCTATTACTCTTAGTAGTTATACTTTTTTTAATAGTAGTGATATCACTGCTCTTAATAGTGTTAATATAGCTACTTATAATAATAGTAGTACTACTTTTAATAATAGTAGTTCTGCTACTATTCTATGTAGTAGTTCTACTACTATTCTTAGTAGTAGTGCTATTTTTAGTAGTAGTACTGCTATTCTTAATAATAGTACTACTAATATTTTTAGTAATAATATTATTGCTTTTGATGATAATACTAGTGATAGTATTAATTTTTAATATACTTTTTTTATAATTATAAAAGATAGTTTGAAAATATTGTAATAAAAAAAACTAGTTTTATTAGATAAAAAATCAAATGCTTTAGTATTGTATGAATAGTATCAAGTTTTGCAATATATTTTTTTAAGAATAAAATTATAATTTATTATTATATAAATCTGTTTTATGATATTATCAGCTATTGTATTTAAAGACATATTTGCTCTAATTCAGTTATATATATTCTTTATATAATACTTATTAAAACTTAGCAAATATTTTTATAATATATTCAAAAAAGAATACTCTATATCTATCTAATAAAATAAATCTAACAAAAATACAAGAAGTGTCTTATTATAATTTTTTTCTGATAAAAAAAAAAAGTCTATATACAAAAAACTAACTCTACATATTCTTCAAAGTAATCTAACCAAAGCAAAACTGTATATATATTAAGTATAGTTAGAATTAAGTTATTAAGCAAATTAATAGCTATTTAATACTTGATATTCTTATATAATTACTTAAATTTTTTTATATATTATCTTTAATTTTAAGCTAGCTACTATATGAAAGTTCTAGTATAAGATTTATTCTTTAGAACTAAGGCTTTTTTGCAAATTTTTTATTATTACTGAACTCAAAATAGAATAGCTTTTTTAAAAAAGAATAGTAAACTAAAACAACTTGTTTTTCTATTTAGAGATAAATAGAAAAAACCTAATATTAGTAAAAATAATTCAAATTTTTGTAAAAATTTATGTATATATAATGCTTTGCAAATAAATATCTGCTTAAACTAGTTAGCAACAACTAGTAAAACTTTTAATCTAAATACTATATTTTATTATTTAATAATAAAAGAATATTTAAAATATTAATATAATCTTATACTGAGTATAAACTCTATTCTCTAAATTTGACTAATTTAAGTTTTTTTATTGATCTTTTTTCTTCTTGTTTAATTAAATTATTAGTATAATAATATACTAACAAGGCTTTAATTTTATCAACTTTCTTAACAATTAAATAACTTTGTAAACTTTGATAGTCTAAATATGATATATTAAATATTTTTTTATTTTTATGAAATAAATATCAGCAAATTTTATATGCTTTAATTTTTACTAAATTATGAACTAATATATTGTTAAAATAAAACAATATAAATAAATATCTTAAAATTAGTTTTGTTACAAAAGTTGCAAAATAGTTTGTAATTAAAGTTAAACTATATTAGGTTTTTATTCTCATGAATTGAATAATAATTATTAATATTATAAATATAAAACAGATTTTTTTTTTTAAAAAAAAAAAAATAAAACAATAAAAATTAATATTTAAGTATTTATTTTTTATTAAATAAAATATATAATATATATATTCTATAAAATATTATTTAAAAAATCTAGTGATCTTAGTATAGTAATTAGATTACTAGACTAATATATAAGAGGTTTGGAGTTTAAATCCTACTATTAACAAATTTGAATAATTATCTAGACCTTTGTACTCAACTTATAGTAAACTCTATTCATTTCTAGTAATTACAACTCTATAAATTCTATTATACTAATGTCAATTAGATATTAGAAGTATGACTAATATTTTAATTATATTGCATTGTTA